CAAAAGTATTTGTGAATGACTACGACAAAATCAAAGCTTACTAAGAGATTTCCTTTTTTCTTCAGTTGTAAAAAAAAATAAGTTTATGGAAATAGATATATATCATACAGTATAGAGGCAGAAATCATATGGGATTTGTTAAGAAAAAATATGTGGACTTTTGCGGTTATAAAGATGAAGTTCAACTTCCTTTTAAGTTCATTTCAGTGTATTTATTTGCGTTTTCAACTGATGATCTAATTCAATAACAAATATTATTGATATTAAATAATAAATTAATTTGCATAAAATAAATAAATAATAAAAAAAATTGATCGCCCGAGCAGGGACTTGAACCCTGGACCCTTGGATTAAAAGTCCAATGCTCTACCGACTGAGCTACCCGGGCTGTTGTCTGTCCTTGCCCAATTAATAATTTTGATTCCCTGACCTAATTAGATAGGGAAGAGTCTTGTGATCCTCAGAGTTCCATGGTGATCACTGATAAGATTAGAAATCTGTTAATTATTAGAGAATTTTAACAAATCAAGAATAAAAAAGTTAAAATCTTAGAAAAAATTATATTGTGTGAATGTTTTTACTTAAATTTTGTTAAAAGCCAAAATATAAGGCTTTTAAGACTTATACCTATTTAGTCTGAAAAAGCCTGTCCGTCCTATGGTTTGTTATTGCAAAATGTGTAAAAATTTATTTTTAGATTTGTCATCATTTAAATGTTGTGATTAATAAAAATTGAGTGAAAAAGATTTTAATACATTTTTGTTTATTTAAAAAAACTATTACAATAACATTTTGTAGTAATTGTATGAAAATACAGTGTTTACTCGATTACGTGACCACTTTTTTTTTATATTTATTGCCTTAACAGATAAGAAAAAATTTGAAATCAACACAAATTTCTTATATGAGAATAAAAATTTTAAAGCTTATTTTTTCGAGTGAGCACTGTAATATTATTATTTTTTTTTAAATTTAGTTAGCCAATGATTCTTTGAGATGTAAATATGTATTTATTTAATTTATTTATTTAAAATAAGTACTACTAACCACAACCCTGTAATAGTTTATCTTACGAGAAAACTAAGGACCTAACAAATATTTAGATAATTATTGAAAATTTAGAATAAACTTTATTTTTTTTTATTATTCACAACATTTCAGGTCTTTAAAAGTCTATGAGTCATCCATTATCTTCCGCCAGGCTGGGAATTCTTAACCGCTGCTTCTGGTATTACTGCCATGAATATTTTGTTTTGTCTCTTACAATATTATTATTTGGGAAAATATTGGTTCGCCCAAACAACACTAAATGTGTTTTGTTCTTGAAAAAATACATTTAATGCTATTCCAATCCGTAGTACGTTTCGTATTACGAAACATTGCTTCAGTCAACGCCAATGGCTTCTAGTTTTCAATTTTACCAATCTAAGGTTTTTGAGATCGGTAACAAAATAATTATAAAATAGCATTTTATTCTCAAAATATTGATGTCAATTTTAATGCTTTATAACTTTATTAATGGTAGCAAAATGTTTTTATTTTATATATAGTATTAAGTATTATATAGTATTTATATATTATATAGTATTATAGTAACACAATTTTGTAATAAGTATAAATAAAAACAATTTATTATCTTAACTAAATAAATAAATAAATAAAGTGTACACTAAATAATTGTACGCATATATATATATTTTTTTTTTTCATATATGTATGTATATATATCTCCATGTATATATATATCTCCATTACCCACTAACTTACCTTTTTCTCCGACAGTAGGATCAAGTTTCACTTCATCTATATATAGTTCAGCGTCAACATAGGAGTTAATAACATCTCCTATTATTGAGTACCGTGTTATAGTTTCTCTACTAGATTGTAAGTTCTTCACTCATGTCTTTATAAAGTAACACTGGGCTAAAAGCAATTCGAATCTAAGTAAGTGTCTAAAGACTTACATAGATGATTAATGACTAAAAATAAGTTGGGAGATATAGTATTCTTTGAAAAATTAAACCTAAAACTATATGTCCGATTTGCAGATTACTGTATAGTTTGTAAAGCAGAAGCAGCAGGTATTTCGATATAATGAAATTTTTCACAGAAGTATTTTCATTTAGATATAGATGTTTTAGATATAGTCAAACTGTCATTATATTACATACATACTGGTGTTTTTACAACAACCTACTTTGAATCGGCAATTTATATTTCGTTGAACGAGATATCGATGCCTCGATGTATTCATTGATTGTTTCGAAATGGACTCATATATACATTCGTGGTAACTGTTTAACCAAATATGGCACATTTCTTACCATAACAATATTTATAGCAAATTTGTTACGATATTTGTAGCTAAAACTACAAAGTATTTCGAACCATAGGCGATTTAATGAGTACACTTGTGTAACTATTGTCATGATATGGTTCGCCAACGACCAGATTAGTCTTGCTTACCACTAGATATTTAAAACGATAGCCGTACTAACTGAAACCTCATCGCCGACCGTTTCAATGATGGTACCTTTTTCAGTGATTACTGCTATAGCTTCTACTCAGAGAAAAAATAGGAAAGCATTACTGATTCTATTATGTGAGTCAGAAACAATGTTATTCCAAAGGGATCTCATACTTTTTTAATTTGGGTTATGTATATTCGTGTCTAAATTAATACTTTCATCTACATATGAGGTATAAACTCATCCTTGGTTAACATTGCATCGCATTCATCTATTGTTCGTCCAGTGTAGAGTAACTCTAGAAAATCTTATTCAATTTTGTTACTGTCATGAATTAAAAAATGTCAATTGAACAGCTTTGTATAATCTTTAACTTATATTAAGTATTAATCTAGATTTTTTTGCTACTTATATATCAGTGCATTATACCATTTCCTGGTATGTGTTTTCAGTTTTATTATCGCAGAATCACACTTCCGATTCGTAGACATATATGCGCATTGGTTCTCCTTAAGAGTGTGCCTTTAGTATTATATCTTAATATTTCTTAATAAAAAGATGGCTCATAACAATTCCCACCCTAAATGTTATAGATCGATGTTGAAGGTCAGTTATTTACGTATAGGGTTTGATAGGGTTTGGGTTTGATACAATGATTACGTGGTACATATGTTCATTGAGTCTGTATTTATTAGTTCTTGGATAAGCAAGTTCTCTTGGATGGAGAAATAAAATCACTTTTTATAATAGTTATCCACACCGGCAATATGGAATGTGTTTTTTCAATGTTTGTCTTTTTTGATCCCAAATGTGGCTGTAATCTATTTCTGTAAACGTTGTCTAACAGCAATCCAGATTATCTTAAAATTTTCTCTCCACCTTTGTTTCTCTTTTGATTCTAAGTGTGATTCTAAGTTCTAAATTTGCTATTATAGTTGTTAACTAAATATTTAGATTGTCATAAATGGTTCTTAATCGTTTCCTTTTAAAGGTTTTTTTTTTATTTTTGTTGCATTATCTAAACTGAAAAATTAAGTTCTCAGCTTCCATTTAGATTCTTGTCACTTTCGTTTTTACTAATCCCTAGTAAAGGCTCAGTGGTTTGCTATTTTAGTGATCTAATAGGAATTTAGATTGTTGAAAGAATTCTTTTCTTTTCTTATCTTCGTCTAACTTTCTTTTGTCTTAATAAAATAATAAACACTTTTCTTTTTTTTTATATTTTAAAATGATAATTATATTTTTTGTTTTTTGTTTTTATTATATATTAATGTTTAATAATATGTTTCAATATAATAGGGGATTTTTTTGTAGTTGTTCTATAACATATTGCAAAACTTCCATTCGTACAATTAATTTAAATTACTTTAGGGTTCATTAACGCTATCATTTACAGTTTCTCTTAAATTAAATTATTAATATTAGCTTTTCTATATTTTACATGGAATGCAGCATTATTTCTCAGATATAGTATATCTAACATGTATAGTATATATATACGCGTATAGAATTACATATGATAGAATCTAGGTGCAACTAAAGAGACAAATCCTTTGCATTTGTGATGCATACTCGTTGCTTATGACAACTCGTTTTCATTGCGTTTATTCACTAAATAAAATTAAATTCAAATTCATTAAATTAGAACTAAATTTGTGCTAAATTATTCGCTAACTGTAGTTACAAAAGTTAATTAATTATTTGATTAATTATCAATAAATGGGCTCTGCTCAGCCGCTTGAGATAAGAATGCACTAACCTTAGCATTAACAATGTTAAGTATCTTAAGATTCTAGTTGCTTTATGATAAGTAGAACGCTCGTTCTTGTACACGATTTCATTTATACTAACTTAGAGTAGATTTTCTCTTTAAAAAATTACAATATTACAATTTTTAAATTTTATTTTGTAATTATTTAACATTAGTTTTAATTTTTTTTGTTGCTCTGCTTATATAACAAAATTATTTTTATTAACAAAAAAATAGAAAAAAAAAATTTTTACAAAGACAAATCACAAAAAATTTTGAAAAAAATTTTAAAATTAAATTTTGAGAAATTATTTTTTTAAAATAATATTTACTGAAGAATTTTATTTAATTAAAGGATTTGTATTATTTTTATTTGTTTGATTTTTTTTAATTAATTTTATTTTTTAATGGGCATTTTTTACTACTGAAGGTTGGTTAGTCCTGCTGTGTTTCTTTGTATGGAAATTTTTCTTATTAAATTATTTAAGATGAAAGTTTTTCTAAGTTGAAATGATTTCTAAAATAATTTGATTTTTAATTATTTTATTACACTTTAATTTGAACGAATTTCCTGTTTTATCCGAATTTGTTTTTGTTTTTTCATTTTTCGTTTTTCATTATTAAAAGTAAGTAACACAAAGATTCGCTAAGCTTATCGAAGTAATCATTAAATAAATACTAAAATGTATACCGACGAAAATTATTTTAATAATATTTTAATGTGATAAATTGTTAAAATTATTTGTTAAAATTACTTAACAGAAAAATTAAATTTAAAAACAATTATTTTTTTATTTACAAACTTAAAGATTAAATTTTAAAAAGGTTAACGAACAGTTCTGGTAACAGTTTGACAGTAGTTGTCAGCTTGTACATGGTGCTATAGTGCTTATCAAACTGTGTGCAGTGCCAATGCTTAGCAGCTGCAACAACCATTTTAGCAAATGATAAATTGTAATAATTCAACAATACTTCAACGTATAAATTCGTAAACGAGATGCGATTGTGTAAAATGTATAATTATTTAAGTTTAACAAAATTAAAAATTAATTAAATATTTTTAATATTATTTAGTGTTCTATGGGTTACCAAGAGATGCAAAAGAAACTGTGTTGTAAAAAATTAAAACTATTATGAAATTATGATATATCAAAAATTTTCTACTATTAAACATAAGTACATGCCACCTTGAACGTGTCAATAAAGATTTGATTTAGTTTTTAAGTTTAACGGGAACATTTAACAGCGCTTCTCTGTATATACGATAAACTTACAAACTAACACTTAAAACGTAGTTACTTAAAACTAATGGCTTTTCGAATACTGCTTAGAGAATGGTTTATTATACTGGACAATTAAGTGGTGTTCACACTAAGCCAGAGATAAGTACGAAGAGCTTAAAGAGAAAGCAATTGAAAGTCTGCCACACAGATTTTTATCCGAATTGATATTTAAATAAATTAATTCTTGTTCAAAACGGTAAATAAAATAATCAAGCAAAAGTTGATATATTTCACTTACTAAAGTCTGAAGTTATGAAATAGAAAACACATTCCTTTAATGTCCAGTATTATAAACCAAAACGAGCCACCACCGCAGCTGCTGCACTGCAAATGTGTTAGCAGTAATCAGAGGTACTCAGATCCTTTTGCAGTCAGCAGTTACATAAAAAGTAACGAGCGGCTCGTTTGTACTTAGCTCGAATCAGTTGCATTCAGAAGTTATCATTGTTGTTGGTTGTCAACAGCGTCGGAGTGTGACTGGTGGAAGCGATTCCACACATCCACCGCATTGCTTGCATTATTGCTTGCATTTGTGTTAATAAGTGAACAAATTGCAACCAATAATATCATCCTTCAACTCCAATTCTGTTGCGGATGGATCTAACTCCAGATCCCTTTCACAGAGTTGTTGCTTGAATAGATGTTGATGCGGTGGATGTTGTTGTTGTTGATGTTGTTGTTGTGTTTGTTGCTGATGTTGTTGCTGTTGTTGTTGTTGTTTAATGATAGCTTGAGATCAGAAATCTTGTGGATATTTTATACACTCAGGATTCGCCGACGCCACAGCACTGGCCGTTGCAAATAATGAATTACCACCACCGCCAGCGCCAACGCCAACACCAACGCCAACACCAATAGCTGACGTTGACGTATCCTGAGTATTTTGCGTTTGATAACCACCAGCCACACTTGCCGCCGCTGCTGCCTGATATGGTTCCTGATACAACTGATTGAGTCTCTAACCAGTACCCGAAAAGTGCCACGCGTCCTATGCGCTCAGATGTGCAAATTGTGACGGATGAATATCAAATTGATGATATGGATGACCATATGGTCCCATATGATATGGTACTATATTCATTGATGCCATTTTATGTTCTTTCTTCCATTTCATGCGACGATTTTGGAACCAAATTTTTATTTGCCGTTCCGTTAGGCAAAGTGCATGCGCTATTTCGATACGTCTTCGGCGGGTCAGGTAACGATTAAAATGAAATTCTTTCTCCAATTCTAATGTTTGATAGCGGGTATATGAGGTCCGTTGTCGTTTCGTTTCACCATTTGCATTCACAGTACCTGGAAAAGATAAACAACAAAAATAATTACTACAATTATTTAAAATAAATGTTTAGTTTATATATAAATATATATATATATATATATATATAGGGATTTATATCGAGTTAAAAGTACATTAAACAGTTCTATATATATCCCAGTTAGATTAAGAAATTAGGACTGGTAATATATAAAAATGTATATAAATTATTCATTAAAAGTTGATGTTTAGATATATAAAAACAAGGGAATTTGATAAACTAAGCTAATCATATTTCTTAGTTTAAAATTCTAAACTATATTCGATTCCATAAAAGTCTAATAAAGGTACTGAAGTCGGTTCCTAGCAATAGCAGGCAGGAGCAAATAAAATGGGCAAAAGTTTAACACTGCATCTTATAGAATCTGAGGGTGTCGATGTTCCTTTGTCTTATTTACAAAATATGGCTGTTAGCAAGTGCTAGTCTTGGTAAGAAACCAGTGATTTATTCAAATTTAATACTTTTTAGACTGATAAACCTGTTATTTTTGTTGTTGACTCGGAACAACTGTTTCAAAATTCAAGGCTTCTTGACTTGGTTATGTTATATTCTTTGTGTTGATATATATATTTTCAAGTTCAAATTAATTAGAAATGGTTTGTTGGTCCAGTTAGTTATCGTTTTCATAGTTGTAAATAGTACATTTTAAGAAGGCATCATCAAATTTTCGTGAACATAGAATTAGCGTTTTATTCAATTGTTTCGATGTAGAGTGATTAAGTAAAGATCTGAACCCAATTAAAAAAAGTGGCTTAAAGCTAGTTGTTTCAGATTTATTCTATATATAGTCTGTAAAGCTACCACAATAAATGTTTTCATCAATAACCGTACGTCTACGTCTATCAAAATATACTACAGTAATAACATATTTCTAATATTATTTTGCTTCCTTTCTTTCGTGGTTTAATGTCTTGAAGTCCTTCATTTTTTTTTTGTTTTCGCTAAACTAAAGGGTAGTTCTATTTCTTAGTATAACTAAACGAAACTAAACAAATTGGTTTCTAATACAAATTCTATATATTCGATGCCATTTGGCACTTTTCCCATCACTAAATTGGTTAGCCTACTACTAAACTAAGTCCATGGAGAGCGTGAGGAGCATCTGTGTATCACACAATGACTGACTGCCATACATTTTCTTCACTGAAAGTCATGTTCGGTTATGAATATAAGTCAATTTTTTTTTTTTGTGTTCCTACTGCATTAAATGTTTATCAAAACTGTGCTTGGCTTCAGACCGCCTACTCATTATTGTTGACGCGTTTCAGATATTCCCCTTAAAGTTTAGCAGCAACAGCAACAGCAGCGGCAACAGCAACATAAACTGCTACAACAACTACAAAAACAACAACAACAATAGCAACAATAGCAACAATCGCAGCAAAAATATCACAAAGTCGGCCGAAAGTGCATGTAGCAACTCAAGCGACAAAGCATTTTTTGCCGTTCGGTAAATTGGGAGATGTTGATAACTGAAATATGGAGGAACCTGAACACTGTGAACACTGAACACTGAATACTGAGTACTGAGCACACTGAACACTATATAAACTGAAAAGATAATAAATGCAAAGAAATATAAACAAAAAGTTTGGCGCAACCGAAAAGACTTCAACTTCGCCGTCGAATTGCGGTTTGGCACGTCATTTTTTATTAAATGAACAACGTCTGAAGGAAAATTATAAATAAGAAATAATACTTAAAATCGGGGGAAATGCTCTTACCCGGCGAAGCGAACCACTTTTGATGATACTTGGAACAAATGAGCTTGTCTATTGCTTTTTAAACACTACTACGCCTAAAAACGCCCTTAGACCCAAAACGCTGGCTGCGTCAAATGTATTCATTGAATCCGGACGCGCTCAGATACTTCAGCGAAATGAAACGCAAACTTAAAACGCAACTGAGACGTTCAAATTTTTTTAATTAAATTTAACTTAAATTCAATTTAATTTATATAATTTTATTTACTTTAACGACTCGTATTAAGGTGAATGAGTGCATATATGAAAACCTAGTATGTATGGTAAAATACTTTCAGTTAAAAATCAATAACCACATGGAGAATTGGCAGCGGAAAAGTTTTGACACTACAAAGGCGAGGGCTTGCCTGGGTTCATGTAGTTTCATGTTTTGTTTTGACGTGGAAGATGTCAAAGCACATCAATCAAAGGGAAATCTAAATGGAATTTCCGATTAAACTTAAAATTAATTACCACTCATTTAATTAAAGTGTAGATTAGTAGCGAGTGGCCTATGTGTGAATGTGTGTACCGTACTTCGGTGCTGGTGAGTTAAGTTTTTTGTTTTGTATTTTTTGCCGGCTTGACTGCCAACATTTTGTTCCTTCCCTTAAAATGAACGGGTTCAAAACGAATGAACGAATGGCCAGAATAACTACAGGCAGACAGTAACCAGACGAGCCGTGGTAGGAACATAAAAGAACTCCATCGTTCATTTCCTTTCTCTTAGATGCCTCCACGTAGTAATGCGCCATAAAAAATTACTTTTTATTAAACTATTTTGTTTTTGTTGTTTTTTCATTTTCAGTTTTAGTTTCGAAATCAGAATGAAACGTAGGAGTACAGGCGGGAACGACTTTGTACTACAAAAATATACTAAAAGTGACATGTGTCTATCAATATCTTTTCCGCACATAACAAATTAGAATGCAAAACATTTTAGCATATGCAAATGTAGCAATAAACCTCTACATATATATATATAACACATACATATATAATATAATATATATAACATATAATAAATATATACAAATGCAAGCTAAGCTAAAGTATTAATATAAACTAGCTTAACACATGATATTACGATACTCATGTAGTATACATTACTTATTGAATGTAATAATTTTGTTATAATTAAAAATTAATTATAATGCAATCAGTTTAATAAACTATAATGCTTAACTTTCATTTTTAAATTTAAATTAGAATAAATATTAAAATATATAACATATGTATGTAAGTTATGTATTTGTTTTGCCACTTAAGCAGAACTTTTTGCATTTAAAAATTTTCCAATTAATATTGAATTATTATAATATTTATTAAAATATATTAATTAATTAATTTTAATATTTCTAAAAATAACAAATGTGTGGCACGACTTTTCGTCATATTTTTTTTATTTTATTTGCACTGAATTAATTATTAACCATTCTTACTACACTCTACTTCATTTCCTTTTATTAATATTTTTTTAATATTCCATTAATAAAAATTTATTATTAATATTTTTTATTAACATGTACTCTAACAATTACTCTAATAATATATTGATTCAGTAATAAGGAATTTAATAAAATGCAACTTCATAGTTTAATACCATGTTTCCACTGCAGCTAAAACTATTTAAGTTAATGAAATTACGATTTGATCGTTTCCATTAGCAAAAGCTGATTTATGCATTAACAAACTATTTTGTTTGCTTATATTTTACATATAAAACATATGACAAATATTCAAACTTTTGTAATTTCCTTTGTGGGAAATTTATTTTTAAAGGTTGCATTCAACATTTAACGCCTTAAATCAGTTAATTTATTTATAATGTTCTCATTTATACGAAAGCGCTTTGTAAATCAGTTGCTAGCTTTTAAAGAGCTGTTAAAGCTATATCAGCCGTCTGCATTTTGTCTAGAACAGTGCAAGAATGTAGATAATGTATAAAAGTACTAAGTGAGAGGTCCAAGATAACACTGGTTTAGATTCCAGTGCATTCGAATATAATAGGGAATGAACGCGCAAATGAAATAGCTAGACTGAGAGTGTTTTTTACAGGGACTTTTGTTCCAATTCCTGCCCCTTTTCTGAACATTTTCTGTAACAGTTCAGTAGGAAGCGGACTTATACTTTTTCAGCAGTCAGATCAAGGGTTGGCTACCTGTTCATTTTACTCAAATTGTAGAACCTCTGACTTGGTACACAGGAGCAAAGGGTTCCTGATTATGGGAGCTATGGGAACTATGGAATTCATGGCGCCAAGCTCGACCTGTCTTGTAGTATTCCCTGTTGCGTCTATATCTAGTCTTATGCTATTGGGTGCCCCATTCTTCAAAATATTGAGGATACATCCAGAATTAGCTTTAGCAAGATTCTCACATTTATAAATAAACATTAATGCAGAGTGGAATAAGTAAACAAACTAATTTTTCAGGTAAATAAAAAAGCTTATCTTAGTATATTTATCTGAGAAAGGTTATACGTTTTTTTTACGTACATATATTTAGTTCATTTCAAATATTAACCCAAATGGTTGTAAAGATAAGAACTATTTAAAGAGAACCGATTAAAATACATTCCAAAAATATGAAATATTTTTAATATAATTTCTTTTTTGTGTTCTGCTCTTTAATAATGGAGCTAAAAAACAAGCGAAAAGCTCACCTGTTATGCTTGAACCAAATGCGAGTGCAACATTAGACAAACTGTCAGTTAGGTTATCAAATTTTATTGTAAAACTAATATTTCTTGTTTCCATTAAAGTTCGGTTTTGTATTTATTTTTAGGATTTTGTTTGTTCCACAATAACCACAATAACGGAAATAGACACAATTGGTAAAGGAACTGGTATAGTAACGTTCGGCAAGCAAAACTTACCAGACAGAACCACATGTAATATTAAACATGATGCATGATGTGCAGACATTTTTATTTTTGTGGTCCTAAATGTCCTTCCTTGGTTAAGAAAATTCTGAAAATCAATAAACAAACATGAAAGAACTGACATTAAATTTTAAACAAACTAATGCACTTTTCCTTGGAAGCATTTCCTTGGGAGTTCATCTGTAACTTGAAAATTGATATATTTTTATAGAGTGTATCAGACTTCATTTGTCACTCAAACTATGTTCTGGGATTTTTTTAATCTATACATTCCGAAAATAAGACAATGTAGTGAGATGATGACATTGGACATTGGATTAATTAAGGACAGCTATATGAATACTAAAATTGA